GCCCCGTGTCGCCCGGGGCCCCCCCCCACGAGGCGTGGCCTCCCCTGCCCCACCCACCTGCGCTGCGCGCGGGCCCGGTCCTCGCGCCGATTTGAATTGAACTAGCTGAGCCTGCCGGCACCTAATGCTTCCCCCTCCCCCATCCCGCGGGGAAAGCGGGACGCCAATCGCAGTCTACCGTCTCCTCCTGCCTGACGAATAGCAGCTCGGCGTCGGAGCCCCACCCACCCCTCGGGAGGGGAGCGAGTTCGAAAAGAAGTTGGCGGCGCAGCAGTTGGGCGGGGGCGGGAAGCAGGAGGGAGGGAGTGTGCGTGTGGCTGGGGGGTGGGGCGCTCCCTTCCCGGGGTCTGCGAGTCGAGGGAGCCGGGCCTTTGGCGCCAGCCCTGCTGCCTATGTAGGCACATGGGGCAAGCCCCCGACACACACACACACCGCCTGACCTCCCCCCCTTCAGACCGTCAGCTATATGTCTACACACGCTGTAGACAAGCACACGCACCTACTTTAGACAGAGGTATCTGAATACACACACCACAGCCCCCAAACAAGGCCACCCACACCCCAGCTATATGTGTACACACACTCACACAGCCCCCAAGCAAAGCCATATGCACATACTTTAGACAGATCTAAACACCCACCCCCCCCAGTCCCCAAACAAGGCTATATACACGTGTACACTCCCTTCCTCGGAGCAGCCATGCAGGCCCACACACTCCCCTCTCACCTATTGTCTCCCAGGACCTCGGATCCTCCCTGCCAGGCATTTGCATTTTCACTGACCTGCATTTTGCATGTTGGCTCCTTTTCCATCCAGGAGGACACAACACCAGCAGACTCTCCCTGTGCCCAAAGAAGGGTACTTGTGCCCAAAAGCTTTCAAAGAACAAATTTCCAACTATTTAGCTGGTCTAATAAAAGATCTCACATTTACCCTAAGAACCTGGTTTGCCAGTTGAATACTCCGCACTTTTGGTTGGTTAAGTGCGATAGTCCAGGAATTATGCTGAGGGGCCAGGCTTTCCTAGGATGACCTCTCTTATTGGACCAGCTGCCTAGCTGGGATAGATTTGGACAAGCTTTTGGGTGCCAATGTTCTTCCTCAGGTGTGCAGGTGCAGCCTAGTGAAGAGCCTCCATGGGAAAGTCCCACAGGTAGCAGACAGGCAACTGTAAGCAAAGCGGCTGATTACTAGATCAAGGGTGTGGACTGGGCAGGCAGCCTGAGCTGATTGCTGCTACCAGCAGTGGCAATGCCCAGGCCTGTAAGTTGGCAACTCTGTCCGTTGGCTGCTTAAGGTGGCACTCAGGCTGAACATACTTGACCTGTTTGAGCTTCTGGCCTTGCAGCAAACCTTGGTCCTTACTGAGGGACAAGCCCCCTGCCCTGTGTTCAGTACCTTTGAGGGTTCCAAATTAATGTGTTTCCATGAAGCAACAGCCACTAATTAAAGTTTGTTGCCATTGAAGCCTGTATGTAAATGTCTGTCCTGAGCCTGCTTCAGAGTCAACTCTCAGATTCATCAGCCGCTGATGAAACCAGTCATCTGTTTTTAGCTTGTTTGGCTATCTTCCCCCTTTCTTCCTTGCTTGAAAGCTGGTTTCTTATCTCTCCCAATGACGTAAAGTGGTCCAATAAAAATATCACTTCATAGACTTTGAAACAAATTATACATGCACCACACATTCTAGATGAAAATGCTGCAGAAGAGCATTTGTGCAATAGACCTGCCAAGGAGTCAGCCCTTGTTTTAGCAAAGCCAGATTTTCTTCTTTGGTGCTAATGACACTTACATGGCAAGGTCCCTGATTCTCCAGATTAAATCCATTTATGCAGGCCTCCCAGTACTTTAGATGGGGTCAGTTTGTTTGTAAAACATTTTATGCACTGATGATTTCATTGCTCTTTTCTTTGGTCAGCACATCTGCACTATGTCCAGCTGCTTTCAGTTGAAACTAAATGACCGCTTCTTCTTTTGGGGTACGCTCCTGCCATTCTTTTACATACAAAACTCCTGTTGATTTAGTTTCTTGCATGGCTGAGCTCTGCTACTTTTAAACATGTATCACATATACATAACACAAAGAGAAAAGGGAAAAAAATATCAAGTCAACACAATAAATACAGTAAATACATCTAGTCATGCTCAGGCCTCAATCCTCTGCCGAGTCATAGATGGCCTACCTTTAATCTTGAAAGAAAAAAAAAAATCTGTTAAGTGTATCCTTGAAACCCAGTTTATACAAGTTAGACTTGTTTATCCTGAGTAATACTACAATGCCAGAAATGCAAAAACATTGCCCAAGGAAAGCCTGTTTAACCTGTATTAGATGAACCGGTTTTAAAAAATGGGTTCAGACAAGATGAATGCGTTTCTCCTTGATGCACCAATTTCGCTGGTTCTCTAGCTTTCCATGTGAGCAAAAGCACTTACAAAAAGAATTTAATAACTTACTAATTCTGTGATTTATTGAGGAAAAGAATCACTAATTATTTACCTTGTGGAAAAGAAGTTCTTACAACTCCTAGAGATAAGAATGCAAGAATTATCTGGTATCGAGGTGCCCTGTATCACTCAGAACGAAGAAATAACAGAATTATTTTTACTTGAAATACCAGTTGGTAAGGTTTGCATTTTGAAATTTATTCTCCAGACAGTATGCTCCAATACACTAGAGTTAGAGTTGTGAACATTAACAATTATTTAAAGAGAAGAGTTTAAGATAATGCTGTAGTTTCCTTAGAGAAAAAGCAGCATCAGCAGTGAAAGCTGGGGAATTCAAAGTGTGGATCACCCAAGAAACTTTAACTCTTATCCTGATATCACCTTCTTCATACAATGTGCATCTTTTCCAAATCAGTACCTGAAACTAAGAAGTGATATAAATGGGGAACACCAAGGATCAGACAACTTTCCTTCCCCTCATGCTTTTGAAAGGGTAACCTTGATTTGTCCCTAGCCATCAAATAAAGGACTAGTATTTCAACATAGCTAGGGACTTTTTAGGTAACGAAAACACAGCAAGTCACAAATAGTATTTTCTTTTCTAGTTAAGATAATGGTCTGACTGACCTGATTTGCAATACATCTAAAGAATATTCTAGTAGTCAAGAAAGGGTAGACATCATGAAGAGGAGCATAATGTTAAAAGAGGTGGAATTGCCCAAAGTAATCTAAATTAATAAACACATTCTTCGGTTTCAGAAATCAAACAAGTTGGAACAATTCAGGCTTTCAAATTAAAGCTGTTCCTGATCCACTTTCATTTACACTGAGCTTTGGAACCTATCTTCATCATTTAAGCATAACCCCATGATCCCTGCCCAAACATACACACAGCCATATCTCTCTCATGTCCTTCATTCTGAGGGACATGACTCCTTTTTGTCTCAAGTTGATAAGTTGCACACATGTCTGGCACCCCTCATTTTACACTGAGAACATCGTTTACATCACAAATAAAAAAAATTGTGAAACTAATTGCAGCAAGGATGACTAACATTAAGCACATGAATCCTACAGCATATTTAAACTCCCTTGTCAGTTTGAGATTTCATAAATACGATGTACAAGCGAGGGAACAATAAATTAATAAGTATGTTCATCAACACTATGGTAGTATAGTTAATTTTTATGTGCCACCTGTCTCTTTTCAATTATTCATATAATCTTTTATCCCAGTGTTGAAAAGCAGTAACAATAGGCTACTCTTGTCTTTTCTACTGTAACCCAGGTGCCTTCTTCATAGGTGAATCCTATATCTACAGTATAGACTACAGCCAGATGTGGTCAATTTTTGCAAATTTTGCATACAGTCACACTTCTGGATTAACGTATGTTATCAGTACAGTTTTATTTTACTTTAATTATGAAATGGCATCCTTTTAAGTGTTTACGTACTTCGCTCATGGTTATGATGCTACACTTCTGACACTATTTAAGTTGTAGCTAATGGCTATTTAAGTTGTAGCTAATAAGCATAAATGAATACAATATGCATAAAGACTTGCTCCAAGATAACTAGTCAGGAAATGCTGTATATAAGTAGTACTATAAATCTCTCTCCCCCAGGAACATATAACAAATTAATCAATGCTTATAAAATCCCTCCATTTTCTTACAATGGCAGTTAAATGCAATGTATAAAAGAAAAAACTAAAAAAGGAGATTTGATCTTGCTCTTCTTATAAATCCTATATAAGAAATTAAGTGCCTAAGAATATTTTTCCCTGCTTGTTTTTAACATTAGGTTATGCCTATGATAAATCTTCAGCAATTGTGATACTATTCCGGAAACACTTCCCTCAGAGCATCTAGACTTTGAATAGATTTGCACTTGGATTCGAATATATGGATTTACAATTTGGATTATCAGGAGGATAAGGGCATTAATTATTAGTGTAGACATATGCTACGCAAGTGGGACTAACCTTTTTGGCAGGCTTACCACAAGTTAAGCCCCAAGCCTTCCCAAATGCCACTCTGATCTTTTGCCTGCATGATTTGCTGTTCTGCTTCTGCCCCCTGCTTAGTGCCACATACAGAGGCCACCCATGCCACTTGTGGCACACATGCTGCAGGTTGCCACCCCTGCCCTAAAAGAAACTATTGCTTCTACAGAGCTTGGGATAAAGTGTATAAAACAGGCTTTGGAGCAGTCACCAGATAAGTGTCCTAACTTGTCCTAAGAACATTGTCCAGTGACATGGGTACTAAGGTGCATGGTTGACAGCCCAGAGGTTGCAAGTTTGAGGCCAAACTAGAAGTACTCACAGAGAGTGGCCTGTCAGGTTCTAATGAATCTGCAAGTTCTGCTAAATACCTTGTTACAAGGGCATGAAAATGAAAAGGACATTCTCCTGCATGCATGCTTAAATTTTTCATTCTTTTATGCTAAGTGGAAGAGCTTGAGAAGGTGTTAAAAGAACATTTAGTCACATTTAGTCACTCCACACTGAGTAACCTCTAGCCTGCTAGTCAAGGTACATATCATGGGAGATGTTTGAATTCCTTCAGGAAGAGGAAGGAATTAAATCTGCGTCTCCCACATCCTGTGCAAGCACTCAAACCCCTGAACTGTTGTTGCACAAAGGGAAGATAAGAATAGCTTCTCTGCCAGCTGTGTTTTGAAAAAGAAATGCCCCCTTAGTTTCTGGAAGAAAAGGCTTAGGTACTTAACCTTAGGAGTAGGTTCCAGACAGTGAATGGAAGGAGGTATCTTGGGGTAGCATGAAGTAAAATGCCTAAGCCCTGAAGAGGGATATAATTTAAGACATATCCCTGCTTTCAGCATTTCCTTATTAACCATGTCTCCCTGCTCAGCGTGTTAGTTTATAAGGATCATTCCCATGTATTGCACGGGGAGTCTAGGCTTCTGGTTCATAACTGTGGATTCCACTACCATGGTCAGATGCCAACAAGGTAGGCATTGCAATATTTAATGTTCAGCACCTAAGTCGCTCTCTGGATCTGGGTCTTCATGACTGTCTGCTATTTGCTGATTATTTTTTTTAACTTCCGTCATGTTTTCCTCCATTATTTCCATTACCCTCTGGACACTGAGCACTTGATATGGACAAAATTTACATATTTTTAAACTTGCTGGTTTTGTTGATGTCTGTTTGAATGCTAATATGTACAGGACATTCTGGAGAAAGGGAGTCTTTAACAAAGATTTGACTATGGTTCTCGTTAAGGTATAAGAGTTCATGATATACATGTTCTAAGACATCTGAAAAGTCTATTGGCAGAACTAGGGAGGATCTGTGTGATATTCCTGAGTTTTCTAATCTAGCAAGATAAACACTATTCACATGCGTATGGATTGCAGAATTGGATTTCCTAAGACTTCTCAGTATCCACGTATTTCTCTTTTTCAAAACTAGTTTAGCAGAGTCTATATAACACTGGATGCCAAACTTCTCAACTCCTCACTTCTGAAAAATGGAGTTAGACTCCTATTACATTTATCTGCTTTTGAAGTAACAACCAATTATTTAAAAGCAAGTTCATAGGAATAT